TTGCAATGTGAGGGATGGTGTGACCTTCCTGTGTGAAATCCCGGGAATACAGAGGACGGGGACATCTCTCTGGTGGGTTCCTGGTATTAGGTGGCTCCATCATCTCCTTGTGTCCTTCTGAAAACTCCTCCATCACTCCATCCTCCTCATCCTCCTCTTTATACTCTTCTTTACCATCAATATTATCATCCCCGAGGATTCCACTCTGAGAGATATAATAAAACAATTCATTGTAACAAACATGCCGAGTATAAATCCCACCTACCAATAATTGTCATCATCTACCCCATTATCATCTCACGTGTGGACTACTGCAACCACTGCCTCCTCACCGGCCGACCTCCTCACCGGCCTCGCTCACCACCGGCCTCCCGCACCACCGGCCATCCCCTCCTCACCGCCATCCCTCCCACCGGCCGACCTCCTCCCACCGGCCCCCCACCACCGCCACACTGTCCTCACCGGCCATCCCTCCTACACCGGCTATCCTGAACTCAGCGGCCAGCCCCTCCTCACACACCCCTCCCGCACCACCGTACCATCCCTCCTCACCGGCCCTCCCCCCTCACCCGGCCTCCCGCACCACCTACCATCCCTCCTCACCAGCTTCCCACACCACTGGCCATACCCCTCATCACCGGCCATCCCTCCGCACCGACTATTCATCCCGCTTCAGTCTATCCTGAACTCAGCGGCCAGACCTCATCCACCTCACCAACCGCTCTGCCACCCCCCTCTGTCATTCCCTCCCCTCCACTCAGTGTCCTCCTCCCCCCTCTGTCATTCCCTCCACTCAGTGTCCTCCACCCCTCTCTGTCATTCCCTCCACTGTATTGTCAGTGTTCGTCTAAACCCCCTTGTCATTCCCTCCACTGGCCTCCATTCAGTGTCCTCCACCCCTGTCTGTCATTCCCTCCTGGCCTCCACCCCCTCTCTGCCAATCCCTTCAAAGGCCTCCACCCCTCTCTCCCAATTCCCTCCACTCAGTGTCCTCACACCCCCCTCAGGGCCAATCCCTCCACTGGCCTCCATTCAGTGTCCCATCACCCCTGATCGATACTGACAATCCCCCACTGGCCTCCATTCAGTGTCCCCCCACCCCCCTCTGTCATTCCCCTCCACTGGCCTCCACTCCCCTCTGTCCATTCCCTCCACTAGCCTCCATTCAGTACATCCTCCACCCCCCTCTGTCATTCCCTCCACTGACCTCCATTCAGTGTCCCCCACCCCCCTCAGCAATCCCTCCACTGGCCTCCATTCAGTGTCCTCCACCCACCCTCTGACAATCCCTCCACTGGCCTCATTCTAATCCCCTCACCCCTACCACACTGGCCTCCAACCCCTTGTCCATTCCCTCCAGGTAGGGGCATCCATTCAGTGGTATCCTCCACCCCCCCTCTGTCATTCCCTCCACTGAGGACCTCCATTCAGTGTCCTCCACCCCCCTGTGTCATTCCCTCTGGAATACCAGTGAATCCCTCCACATCCCTCTGTCATTCCTCCAGCTGTGTCCTCCACCCCCTGGTGTCTTGAACACCCCTCCACTGGTGTCCCCTCTGACATTTCTCTCCACTAACTCCTTCAGTATCCTCCACCCCCCTCTGTCATTCCTCCACACCTGATCTCATTCAGTGTTCCACTCACATTCCCTCCACCCCCCTCTGTCATTCCCACCACTGGCTCCAGATTAAATCATTAAATTCAACCTTCTAACATTGACATACAAAGCCATTCATAACTCCTGCCAGATACTCTCAATTTTTTGCCTCAAAACACAAACTGGCCTGGTGTTACCTTCCTGTTTGCCATGCAATACGGCTCAAACATATCCTGATATTTTCCCCAGGACTCTGATATCCAGTGAAAGTTCATTCACAGATCGAAGAGAGCAATTGTGCACCTCCAAAAGCATCATAGAGGAAAGGGATCTTGGTCATAACTCCGCCCCAAACTACCTCACCCGACCCCACCGACCTGATACCCATATACCACCCAACCCGTACTCTTCGCTCCCTCACAAGACCTCCTACTTTCTAGCTCCCTGGTCTCCTCCTCCCGACGTTCTGTGATATCCCCTCTCTGGGGGTGGACTCCATCATGACGGACTGCCCTGTTGAGGCCCCTATGTGTCCTCTGGAACTCACTCCACCCCAATCATCAGACTGTCACCTACCCTCCTCACCTTCAGGCGCACCCTGAAAAAAAACCCATCTTCAGGGGAAGCCTACCCCACCCTCTACCTAACCAGCCGATCTCCTGGTCCTCCTCTCCTATCCTGACTGACTTCCAGTGTAGACAGTCCACTGTTCCCCTGAACAGCCACTATCTCCTATCACTGACTGGAATATAAAATGACCTACTGTACTGGAGGAAGAGATTATTCCACTTCACATCCAGATACAGCTTTGGTTGACAAACATCAGTGAATCACTACCATTCCTGTATTACTAATCCCTCCCTCCTAGATTGTAAGCTCCCAGGGATCTGGGCCCTCACCACCCCATCGTGTAATTGTATTGTTACTGTATTCACTCATGTCTGTCCCCCACATATAATGTACCAGCGCTGTTCAACAAACCTTCTGCCGCTATATAAATAATACTGTATAATAATAATCTACCTGAGATGGTGAGGGATGGTGTGACCTTCCTCTAGTGTGGAATCCCGGGAATACAGTGGATGGGGACATCTCTCTGGTGGGTTCCCATTACAAGAGACTGGGATCACCATCTACCTTGATGATGGTGAGGGATGGTGTGGCACTTATCCTGTGTGGAATCCCAGGAATACAGAGGGACGGGGACATCTCTCTGGTGGGTTCCTGGTATTAGTTGGCTCCATCATATCCTTGTGTCCTTCTGAAAAACTCCTAATCAATCACTCCATACAACTCCTCATCCTAGACTTTCCTCTTTATACTCTTCTTTAAAACAAAATATTATTCATCCCCGAGGATTCCACTCTAAACGACTTTTCAAAAGAAATTCAATGTAACAAAACACCCTTGAGGAACAATCACTAATAGTTATGATTTATACCATCTACCTATGATGGTGAGGGACATGGGTGTGACCTCCCTGTGTGGAATCCCGGGAATACAGAGACGGGGACATCTCTCTGGTGGGGTTTCCCATAACTTGATCCACCTACCTGATGATGGTGAGGGACCCAAATGTGACCTTCCTGTCGTATGGAATCCCGGGAATACAGAGGACGGGGGGACATCTCTCTGTCATATTCCTGTAGCTGGATGACTCCACCATGGTGTCCTGGTACCTTCTTGGTGTCCTTCTGGAATCTCCTGACTCCCTCCATCCCCCCCATCCTCACCCCCTCTTTTATCTCTTCTTTAACTTCAACTTTAGGATCTCTCAGGTTTCCACTCAGAATATATTAATAAAAATGACATCAATGGTAACAATGCAGATAATGTACAGATCCAATGATACTATCAGACCTACCAGATTGTTCCTCATCTACCTGATGATGGTGAGGGATTGGTGTGACTTCCTGTGTGAAATCCCGGGAATTACAGAGGAATGGGGACATCTCTCTGGTGGGTTCCCATGACTGGATCCATCTGTAGGAAACACACACACTGACTGAATCCATTGTTTCATGTGTTTATCAGATGATTGGGGGATCTAGGTGGATCCTCCGTACTGCTCTCTCCTTTACAATAAAGTCTTCTCTTACCCGGTGATGTGAGGGGGCGGCTGCATTGTCCATTTCATGACGTCCTTGTAGAGGTCCTGGTGTCCTCTCTGGTGGTCCTCCATCATTGACGTCCTTGTAGAGGTCCTTGTGTCCTCTCTGGTGGTCCTCCCATCATGACGTCACTTGTAAGGTCCTTCTGTCCTCTATCTGGTGGTCCTCCATTATGAAGTCCTTGTAGAGGTCCTTGTGTCCTCTCTGTGGTCCTCCATCATGACTTACTTGTAAAGGTCCCTTCTGTCCTTCTAAATTTTGATGTGTATCATCTGCTGGAAATAAAAGACGTCACATGACTATGGAGGAAGAGAGACGGACATGACGGGGGGGTTACTGGTGTAAATAGAACATAACATCTTATTACCTCCTCTGCTGCTACTTCCTGCAATGTCTCCGATCTCCTTCACACCGCATGGCAGTCTGTCTTTATTCCACATCACTTCCTGTCTGTTCCTGACATCATTTCCTGTCTGTTCCTGACATCACTTTCCTGTCTGTTTCCTGACATCACTTCCTGTCTGTATTCCATAGACAAGTCTGTCTCTGGTTAGTAGAAATTAGATCATTATCTTGTGGAGTTCAGAGGAACTGCAGACCCCTCGAGAATGTCCCCCAATAATACCCATTCCTGCATTGTATTTCCTTACAGAGATATCAGGGAGGAGCCAAAATAACTAATAAAAAGTAAGAAACAATAAACCTAACTCTTATGTAACAATCTGTTTAATTTAACAAATATATCCTTTTTACTACAGATAGAAAAGACTTATAAACACAGAACACAACAAAAAAAAACAAAAGATAAACAGAAAGAATAAAAAACAGAGACCCCAAAATCAGACAGACCACTACCCAGAATGTCCCGTCCTTCATATCAAGAGAGACAGACTACCCAGAATGTCCCGTCCTTCATATCAGAGAGAGACAGACTACCCAGAATGTCCCGTCCTTCCTATCAGAGAGAGACAGACAACCCAGAATGTCCCGTCCTTCATATCAGAGAGAGACAAACTACTCAGAATGTCCCATCCTATCAGAGAAAGAGAGACAGACTACCCAGAATGTCCCGTCCTTCATATCAGAGAGAGACAGACTACCCAGAATGTCCCGTCCTTCATATCAGAGAGAAGAGAGACAGACTACCCAGAATGTCCCGTCCTTCATATCAGAGAGAAGACAGACTACCCAGAATGTCCCGTCCTTCATATCAGAGAGAGAGAGACAGACTACCCAGAATGTCCCGTCCTTCATATCAGACAGCCAGTCCCAGCAGACTTGAAGCCAGCTCTTGAAGGCTGGTAAGAAAGACCCTAAGGGTACCTAAGGGCTTGACTAGAAGAGGAAAAAGTGCCCAGACACCTCCACAGGGGTAAGAAGAGAGAAGAAATATGGCACAACCCATATGGGGCACAAAACAGCAGCAGGTCATAAGGATGCACAGGGACCCATGTGCCTAAACACCCACCACTGCCTCAAAACTGCCTACATCTAATCACGGAGCATGGTCCAACAAAGCATCCTCAGCTGAGGAGAGGGGAAGGGGGGAAGGGATCCTAGATTGTCTACCTGATTAGGATCAGGAGCAAGGGAAGGAGTCTGGAGGAACTTCACATAGATCATAAATGAGAACTTACCCTCCAGTGACCAGGTCCCACAAAGGTCTCCAGGCAGACTCCCTACCTGCTGGGGGAACTAGCAGCAGGACCCCAGAATGATCTTCTTGCTGACAATGTGGAGAGCACAGGGACATCCAGCAATTAAATCTTCCTGCCAGGTGATCAATCAACAGCTTTCAGGTACTGAATCAGAAGAGAACCAGACGGCAAATTCTTATCTCCGAGGAGGACAGCATAGTGAAACGTAACACTCTCAGTGTAGTACAGCATAGGGACTAGGCCACTAGACCTGCCACAGGGAAAACTCCCAGACCTTTCCATAGGGGAAGACTCTTCAACACGTGAGGGATTTCCAGTGGAGCTCATGTCAGAGTACCAAGTCATGGAGGGGATGCTTGATGAGACGGGAACTGTTCTCAGGAAACAGATTGGAGCCCCCAGACATGGGGGACACCCTGCAAGTGAAGACTTTCATGGTGAAGGGAATAAACTGCCCCTTTCAGACAAAAAGGCAGACAGATAATATCTGGAAGTACTTGGTCTACAGAGACCATTTGGATGTTTCGCCCCAAGTTCAGGCTCCCAGGCATGAGGGATTGATAAGGACTGACTTACAACTGAAAAAGGGAGTCTAAATTATGAGAGTAATCCCTTGGCACCCTACACACCCTGAAAGATGAGGGAGGGAGAATGATTCTGACTTATAAGGGGAGGAATTAAATCCCTAAAGCACGGGTGTCAAACTGGTGACCTCCAGCTGTTGCCAAACATCAAGTCCCATGAGGCATTGCAAGATTGACAGTCACAAGCATGACTCCCAAAGGCAGAGGCATGATGGGACTTGTAGTTTTGCAACAGCTGGAGGGCCGCCAGTTTGACACCCCTGCCCTAAAGGAAATGAGCAACCTTGCCCAACAGTGACCTTTAAAAAACCCAAGGCCTGGAACACGAGGCTGATTCTCCAGATGACGGGTAGTACATCTATAAGGATTGAAACAACCCCGGTAAATCTGTGTCCACTTCAGGAGACTGCAATGACCCCAACCAGAGGTAGACTGTTGGAATTCTCAGAGACAGTGACAAGCCAACATGGCCAGCATGAATAGAAGTTTTAGGCCAATCACAGACATAATCTGCAGGGGACCATTTAGAGCCTTTGAGGGCAGAGTGCATCGATATCTGAGCAAAAACAGCCAGAAAGTCCAAAGTGGAGACTGAGGTCCCTGCGGACATGGGGGATACCTTGGCCACACACGAGAGAGCTTTGGTAGACTGCAATAAAGATGATCCGGTGACAATAGGGCCCTGATTTACTAAGAATTGAGTCTACCAGAAGACTCTGAACATTCAGGCAGACTCAGTTAAATCAATTAAGACCTGTCAGTCTTCTGAGTGGCGTCTAGCAATCTCATTGAAAAGCGTCTACTTTTCTGTTAGTAAATGTGGAATCGCGTCTGGCATATTTTTACGTGCAATACCGGATATGTTCGCTAGATGGCGCACAAGCGCGGGCTTTGGCGTTTTTATGTTTGCATATGAGAATACTTAGAATGTAAAATAAAAAGCACATCTATATTTTTTTTTTTTTGCTGTTTCTCCAAAATGATGAGACAACTAATGCATTTACTAATGAATGTCATACATTCTATTGTCAAATGTTAAACATTTTCACACTTATATCTCAAATAATTTGGATAGTTCTAAGTTCCCAATATAATGATATATCTTCCTTCTCTGTAATCATGTAACTATTCTATGTTACAGTCATAGTGCAGCGCTATAAATGCATGTGATCAATAATGAACGCATGGAAAAACCAAAAAGTGCAAAGAATTGCAATAATGATGTAAAATGGTAAATGGTGCTAAAATAAGTTCCTCTAATCATTCCTGAATAATGGAATGTCCTTGGTGTGAGAGTACCAACTCAGGGAGAGTGCCTATGAATGACACGTGTGGTCTCTCCGTGACGGACAACTCAGAGAGTGCCTATGAATGGCACGTGTGGTCTCCGTGACGGACAGTAGTGCATGAACTCGTGAAAGGTAAACCACCCTTGGGACTGGTCTACACTCACCAGAACAAAAGTATTAATGCGCATGGGTTTATACACATCACACATCTGGGGGTGCAGCGGTATGCTGGCAGCTATGGGTTAGTCATCCAGCTCCATCCATCCATCCATCCATCCATCAGGGTGGGTGCCCAAATGGTCCTGGGGAGGAATTAGCTCAGCCACAGGAGCCAGAAAAAGGTGCTTAATAGTGTAGTACAGACTTCTGGTTCCGGCGCCGCATGGAGTGAGGAGGACATCCCGCGGCTCCGGAGCGTCCTGCCTATAAATACAGCCTCCTGCACCGGAGGACTGCGGTACAAGGCATGGGAGTGCCCCCCCCCCCCCCCCCCTGACCAGCTATGGAGCGGTATTTGCGGGCAGCAGCATCCGGCCAGGATCCCGCTCCCCGCACACAGAGGGACGGGTCTCCCATCCGTGCAGCCAAGATGGCCACCGCTGACAACGCTGCAGATAGCAGCCTTCACTCCCCTGAGTCAGCTCCGCAGTGCAGCAGCCACAGCCCCTCCACCCTGATGGCCGGCATGGAGACAGACCAAGGGCCAGACCCAGATCCAGGGTCAGGATCAGGTAGGAGAGAGGAACAGCCACTTCACACTCCCTTGATAGGACATGCTGATCACAGTAGTCCCACGGACCAATATGCACAAATCGCACAGGCTGTCGCCTCTCTGTTGCTACCGAACATCACACAAGCAGTAGACAGAGCGGTGACCCTGGGAATAGAACAGCTTAGAAGAGATTTAGAGATCCGGAGAAAACGCCAAAACGCATAACTGAAGTTGAACATCGCCTCTCTGACTTAGAGGATGAATGCCAAGCTATGCAGGCGAGTGCTACACAAGCCAAACGTGACCAGCAGGCCATCCTAGAAAAGCTGGATGATTTAGAGATCCGCTCACGTAGGAACAATTTACGGGTGGTGGGTCTCCCAGAATCCTTCAGCTCAGGCCAATTGTCTGAAATCTGCTCTAAACGTATATCCGCAGCATTGGGAATTACAACACACTGCCAAGTTGAAAGGGCGCATAGACTGGGTGCCCCCTCAAACGATCGCCGTACGCCACGGTCCACGATTGCTAAATATCTTAACTACGCTGACCGAGTGGCCATTATTATTATTATTATTATTATTATTATTATTATTATACAGTATTTATAAAGCGCCAATAGTTGGCTCAGCGCTGTACATTACAGAGGGGGACAGAACATGTGACAGAACAATACCAATACAATGCAAAACATGAGGGGATCGAGGGCCCTGCTCTTTCGAGCTTACAATCTAGGAGGGGGGGATGGTGGCACAGGAGGAGATAGCTGTGGGGGATGGAGTGGTAGGAAGAGTGGAGGAGGTCGGTCAAGTTAGCAGGGGGTGGGGTAGGCTTCCCTGAAGAGATGGGTTTTTCAGGGTGTGCCTAAAGAAGAGGGGAGTAGGTGATAATCTGATGGGTTGGGGCAGGGAGTTCCAGAGGATGGGTGACACCCTGGAGAAGTCCTGGAGGCGGGCATGGAGAGGAGGAGACTAGGGAACTAGAGAGAAGGAGGTCTTGTGAGGAGCGGAGTGTGCGTGTTGGGCGGTACTTGGATATTAGGTCAGTGATGTAGTTCGGGGCAGTATGGTGGACGGCTTTGTATGTCAGCGTTAGGATTTTGAATTTGATCCGTTGTGCAATCGGAAGCCAGAGGAGGGATTGGCAGAGGGGGGTGGAGGACACTGAATAGAGGCCAGTGGAGGGATTGGCAGAGAGGGATGGAGGACACTGAGTGGAGGTCAGTGGAGGGATTGGCAGAGGGGGGTGGAGGACACTGAGTGGAGGCCAGTGGAGGGATTGGCAGAGGGGGGTGGAGGACACTGAGTGGAGGTCAGTGGAGGGATTGGCAGAGAGGGGTGGAGGGATTGGCAGAGAGGGGTGGAGGTCAGTGGAGGGATTGGCAGAGGGGGGTGGAGGGATTGGCAGAGAGGGGTGGAGGTCAGTGGAGGGATTGGCAGAGGGGGGGGGGGGGGTGGAGGACACTGAGTGGAGGCCAGTGGAGGGATTGGCAGAGGGGGGTGGAGGCCAGTGGAGGGATTGGCAGAGGGGGGGGTGGAGGGATTGGCAGAGAGGGGTGGAGGTCAGTGGAGGGATTGGCAGAGGGGGGTGGAGGACACTGAGTGGAGGGATTGGCAGAGGGGGGGTGACGGAAATGGAGCAATTGGAAAGGTGGATGAGTCTGGCAGCTGTATTCAGGATGGACTGAAGCGGGGATAGCCTGTGGGGAGGCAGGCCAGTGAGGAGGGAGTTGCAGTAGTCGAGTCGTGATATGAAGAGGGAGTGGATGAGCTGTTTAGTGGTTTCTGGGGTTAGGAACGTGCGGATTTTGGCGGTGTTGCGGAGGTGGAGTCGGCACGAGTTTGTTAAAGATTCTTAACTCGTTTCGTAACTCACAATCCCTGCAACTGGATGGGCACAAGCTGTTATTGTTTGCTGATTACTCGCCAGAAGTCTCTCGCAAACGCAAATCGTTCCAGTCAATTTGTACTACACTATTTCAGAAAGGGGTAAAATTTACCCTCGCCTACCCCGCTACACTTCGCTTCACTACGCCTGCGGGGGAATCCAAATCATTTGTGCACCCAGAAGAAGCCTGTGACGGGAGTGACTTTTGGGGGTGGGGGGACCGCTTGGTCAGCTCATGTCCCCCTCATTATGTTTAACCCACCCTGTGCCTGTTAAGGGGTACAGGGTGTGAATGTGAATGTCCCAGTATTGTGTATAGTGTGTGTTCCTTTGTCCCTGCCATGTGGTTGCCCATTGTCTACTGCCATGTGTCCATTCCTTTGTTCTGGCCCACATGGCTGTCCATTGTTTGTTTGCCATGTGCTCCCCCCCATGGTGCTGTGTCTTCCTGTCCAGCGAACTATTATGGGATGTACTGTTTGTGTATTGGTGTGGGGGTTGGTCAATGTCCTTTGCCACATGGTTGCATCCCATTGTTCTGTGTCTGGTTGGATGGGGAGGGGTGATGAGGTGTTTCCTGCCTATACTGTAGCCCTTCCCACTGAGAGGGTGGGCTGATGATGTATTTCCTGTTCCTGGTTGTGTTTCCCCGCCCTCTGTATAAAACATGTTTGTGTAAAATAAAGGTTGTTGGCTTCCTGTTTTAGAAAGAGCTGGGTATTGTCTTTTTCCTGAGGGATGTCGAGGGTGTGGTCTGTGGATGGTGTTCGGACAGGGGAAGTTGTGCTATAACGGAAAAACTCAGTGCGGTCTGGGTTCCGGTTCCGTTACATTGGTGACAGCGGTGGGATTGTGCTTCCAGCTGTAAACACATCCAAACCACCACCGGGATTCAAGAGCAGGAAAAGACGTCAGTCACCCCTGTGGAGATATGGACCTGGCATCCGAGTTCCCAGGGCTGCTGCAGATCATCCTTGCAACATACCCCAGGACTGTGTCTACGGATCAGTACCTGGAGCTCAGGCAGCGGATTTGGGAGGTGCTTTGGAGAGGAGCGGTCCAGGCTGCTGGTATGGACAAAGGCAAGTGCTACCCAACCCCAGGGGAACGGGCCAGGGACCATCAGAAGTCACGGATGCCATTCCTGGGAGAGCAACCCCAGGAGCAATGGGTGGCTGAGTTGGACAGACTGGTCCAGCAGGAGATAGAACTGGACAATAGATATCGGGTTCTGCGGTGGTACGCAGAGCAGGAATATTTAGGGGTGTCCACAGAGTGCTCTCCTGGGACTTGACTTTGGTGGGCCTGGATTGCTGTGGGAGAGCCTTACAGACCTTTTTGTGTTTGGCGATAGAGGAGAACCTACTCTGAAGGAGTTACGAGAAGGCAGAGAGGCTATGTTCAGTCTCACAGGGGTCTCAGAACTTAAACCAGATCTGGAATACCTGCTGAAGAAAGAACTGGATCTAGAAAGGGCATACAGGAAGCTGCTAGGACATGTTCGGCAGCATGCCCAAGAATCAGCAGTGGAAATTCCAGAGACTGGGGATCTGATAGACCTCTCGGCTGAGGAGGAACCAGCAGTAGACCTGGCAACAGGGCCAAACAGTACTGAACTCTGCCCAGCACTGGTAACGTCTCCTGAGTTCCACGAACAGGAGAT